GGGACCGGATGTGGGGGAGGAAGGATAATTGGGGGTCGAACCTGACGCCTAGGTTGCGTACGGGTTCGGAGAGTTTTAGGGGGAGGTCGGGTCGGTGGAGGAAGTGAGAACCGTGAGATTTTAGACGTTGACGACAGCCAAAGAGTATGGCTTCAGTCCTGTCAACATTCAGCTGAAGGAAGTTTGCACTCATCCAGCCCCTGAGATCTGACAGGCAGGTAACCAGGTGAGAGCGGGAGGAGAAGCCGTTTGTGCAGATGTACTGCTGGCGGTACATCAAGGTACTCATTATGCACAGAGAGTATCAGGCATTGGCATGTGCTGAACATCAGGTAGCGTTCCATGATGATGGTGCTGATTAATTTAAGTTTGGAAAGTGAACGGAGGGATTTGTAGCCGAAGAAGTTAATTTGAACCATGGATAACTGGAGGGAGGAATCTTATTCCATCTTGATAATAACGGATAATAACGTCCTATTGCAACATAGTTTATTATTACTGTTAATGCATTTTCTCTCTCTATTTGATGAACCAGTTTGGGAATGTCTGCAGATTGTTTGAGACATTGTGCATCCATTCTGTGAGTTTGCTCACACTCATTCAAATGTTTCCATGTCTGGAATTCGAAATGTGTTGCTTATTTTCTGTTTACAAGAACCAAACAGCCCAATAGCTGATTGATTTAGAACAGATTGGTTACTCACGTTTTGCCAACTTGCTCAAGGGTTGCCCTTGAGATTATATAATAATATTCCTTGTATTTGATATAGCGCCTTATCACATCATTGAGATGTCTCAAAGCGCCTCACAGAATATACTGTAAAGTGGATTGACTGTATTTTGTTTTCGAAATGTAGTATATATCATATTACTATATATACAGTATATCATATATTCTATTAATATTTAGTATATTAATACATTTAATATATTAATTCACATAATATATTATATCACAGGTTCATGGGGCTTGGGTCTGTGTTCTGTGATTCACAAAAATGCGTGGATTTGGGATGGAATATTCCCTTTGACGTACGTGATCTTAATCTTCCAAATATCGATCCTACCATCTTCCCATTACAGCAGAGAGACATTCCTTGTTTGTTTTGGAAGCCGGGTGCCTAACACCCATCACTATTCTTAAGAGTCTCCAAACCAAACTAATGACAGTTTCACATATGAAAATTTCTCTTTTTTCTGGCATGAAGCCCTTCTTGGAGGGATGCACCCTGCTAACCTGATCGCAGATTGGCAAGAACCATGGTTTGGGATGCAAAAGTTAAATTCATTTTAATTAGACCTCAGTTGGATTATTGTATTCAGTTCTGGGTGACCCACAATAGAGGAGCGTGAGCAATCGAAAGGGTGCAGCAAAAGTTCAAAGAAATGATAAAAGGTAACCAGAGTTATACAGGGTTACCAAAAAGTCTTATTTTTCAGTCTTATTAACTAAAAAAAATTTTATTTTGATTTTGTAATGGAATCATAACTATTTGGTCACCCTGTACTTATGAAGGTTGAAGAATTGGGTCTGTTTTTGTTTCAGAGCAGGTTAAGAAGAGATCTACTAGAGGGTCTTCAAAATTTTAAGAACATAAGAAATAGGAGCAGGAGTAGGCTATTCAGCCTCTCGAGCCTGCCCCGCCATTTAATAAGATCATGGCTGATCTAGTAACCTAATTCCATTTACCCGCCCTATTGCCATATCCCTTAATTCCTTTAGTTTATAAAAATCTATTGATCTCAGTCTTGAATATGTTCAATGACTGAGCATCCACAGCCTTCTGGGGTAGAGACTTCCATAAATTCACTCCCCTCTGAGTGAAGAAATGATGTCTCAAATCAGTTCTAAAGGGCTGACTTTTAATCCTGAGACGATGACCTCTAGTTTTAGATTCTCCAAACAAGGGAAACAGTCTCACAATATCTACCCTGTCAAGACCCTTAAGAATCTTATAGGTTTCTATGTTGAAAGGTTTCAAAACATTTTGAAAGGTTTTGAGAGGTGAATCATTCCTCCTGCCTAGAAAATTGGGAATAGAAGAACATTAGAAGAAACTTTTTCAAACAGAGGACGGTCAGATCTTGGAATACTTTCCCATGAGTTGATTGACATTGAGACCATAATAACATATTAAAAGGAATTAGCCAGACATTTGAAAAGAGAATAAAAGGCACAGGGAAAACGCTAGGAATTGGGAGTAGTTGGTTTCAGTGGATGTACTGTTTATGCTTGATCAGCCGAATGGCCTTGCTGTAATCTCTATGATTTCAATAAATATCTACTTTTGAACGTTGCAACCAAATCCACTCTTATTATGGCTCTATGTGAGAGGTAGCCTTATCTTACATGTAGTTCAAAGTTTCATTAGTTTAGAATTCCAACTCGTCATTAACTGCTCGTGCAGCTGAATGAACCACCAATTGTTGCCCTTTTGATTTTCGTCATTTAAAGAAAAAGAAATCTATCTTCTCAATCAGAACAGATTGAATTCCCTTAGCTTATACACCATTCATTTTCTCCATTTTGCTCCCATTGTGTAGGCTTGAGCCAGGTAAGCTCGCCAGACAGTGCTATCAATGGCAAGCTATGGGGTTTTGGCTGGTTGGATTCTAGCAGTATCTCAACACACACTCTGGGGTCTCCAAGCCTTGGCTCTTGCCAACCTGCACCTAATACTTTCCGGAATTAGGTAAACAGGATACAAACCCTCCAGAGGGAGAGTGCACATTCCATTCCAACAATCTATCTCTGGGATTTCCATGTGTAGATGGGATGCATGGAATTCTCAGCTTGGTTTGGATACTCTTAAGCATGGGGATGGGTTTCCACATTTGTCAGACACATGCCTGACTAAAAAAAACTATTAGACAACAACTTCTAGTTTCCTTCCGCAAACAGCACCGCATTTATGTCCTATCCCATTATGACTGAAACAGACCAAAATGGCTGAACCCGACCATTTTGTTTTGTGAAATAGAATTTGAGGGCGTGTGGGGAAGAAGGAAAGAAAGATTACAATTCTCCGTGTTAAAAATATTTCTGTTCGTTTGAATATAATTCCAATGCAGCATGTTCTGTGTGGAGTAATAACCCCTGCATGATTAAGCAGAGGTTACCAGAAAAAACATGTACGGAACTGTTTGAGAGACCACAGCTTGCTCAATGCCACCACTGCACAAAATGATGTGTAAATTTTGCACTGCAGCCAAAGACTTTTGAGCACATGCTGTGCACTGTTCAACATGCCTTCTGCAGTGATGTGTATTCATTTCAAACATTAACATAATCTCAAATGTTGGTTTGGGACCAATTGGAAAAAGTACATAAGAGTTGATTAAAAATGCTGGATGTATTGACGGTGGCTATTTCCTGTTTTTAGAGCAGAGGAACTGAGAAAGTCCATAAACAGCTGTGCTGAAATCCTGAGGATAAACATGTTGTTCCATTATCTTCATATTTTATCTTCCCAGTGAGAGACCAGAACAGCAAGCTTGCCAAGCATTGGTTTTCCTTGAATAACAAATCCAAATATTCTCTCCTCAAAACGTGAAAACTTTCTTTGCAATTGGGTGAGGGGGAATTTGTGGTATGTGATGTAATAATTCTGGGTGACAGTTATCACATGGTACGTGGATTCTTGGGGTGTTAGAGCACTTGCCTTGCAAGCGAGAGGATCTGGGTTCCGTTCCCGGGCGGAGTAAAACCTTAGGCATGTTTCCTTACTCCACACGCCTTTGTTTACAAAGCAGTTTGTAGGATCCTGGTTGTTAGTTGATTGGCGGATTGCTTTTGGGGGGGTAATAATCCCTTCATATTAGAAAAAAAACAATAATTTGGTCACTCAATCCACCACTATTTATGGGACACTAAGGTGTGCAATTGGCTGCCGCGTTTCGCACAAAAAATAGTCAAGTCACAGAATATATTCTGTGAAGCACTTTGAGACGTCTCAATGATGTGATAAGGCACAAGATCAAATGCAATAATAATCCTTGCATTTAATATGGCGCTTTTCACATCTTCTAGACGTCTCAAAGCGCTTCACAGAATATACTGTAAAGTGAATTGACTGTATATTTGTGGGCGAAACGAGGCAACCAATTGCGCACAGCAGTGTCCCACAAACAGTCATAGATTGAAGTGACCAATTTATTATTGGTTTGTTTTGAGGGATTATCCTTATTTCTTAATTATACCGGTTTGGGTTGAACACTCTTGCAACCTCTGGAGAATGGTTTCACTTTCCAGCCCATTTCACCATAATATTTGCAACAAGCTTTTTGTTAAACATGCTGGTGACATGATTTTTAGGATATTGAGGATCTTGACCTGGATCAGAGAAAGGCAAGAATGAAGAAGGCCTTTCACCCAACTTGACCACATCCTTCCAGAATATCCATTAGGCCAAGGGGCAGTTCTGTGTATTCCTTCTGGGTTTGCCAGTCATATGAAATATATAACCAGATGGGATAATCTAGAGCCACATAGCCAAGAGGCCTATGGGTGAAACCATTTGGTTCTAGTAAAGCGGTAACTGGCTTCCAAATTACAACTGAATTTAAACATTGTTCATCCTTTTGTTTGATATAGTGCTTTATCACGTTGATGAAACGACTCAAAGTGCTTCACAGGATTTACTGTGAAGTGTAGTGACTGTATATTTGTAAAACAAACACAGCAACCAAATGGCACACAGTGCAAACGTCCCACAAATAGTTCAGTCATTGAGCAGGCCAGGAGGATCTAGTTACCTAATTCCGGTCTAATACTTTCTGGAATTAGGTAAGCAGGATCCCACCAGGGAGAGAGTGCACATTCCATTCCAACAATCTATTTCTGGGATTTCCAAGTGTAGTTGGGATGCATGACATTTTCAATTTGGTTTGGATACTCTTAAGCATGGTGATAGGTTTCTGCATAAGTCAGACACCTGGCTGACCAAAAAAAATGTTGCAGTTGAATTAACCACTGACATGTTTGTCCTTTGTCATTACAGTGAAATGGCTGGGAGAATAGATGAGTATTGGCCCATCCCAATGAGAGCGATTGGGGCTCAGAATCTGCTGACCATGCCAGGAGGAGTGGCAGTATCTGGATACCTGCATAAAAAAGGGGGCTCCCAGTGGAAGATAATGAAGTGTAAGTTTGTACATGCCTATCATTCGTCTCTTAATGGGTCAGAGACTCGAACTTCCACCTCGCTGTAGCCTAGCCTGTAAGGTCCTGTTGTCTCGGAATTTTAAAATTAGTCAAGATTATGGAAATGTGTAAATTAGATCTTGGATAATAGTTTTCCACAATTAATAAACGTTAGGATATGGAATGCGCTGCTAAGAGCAGGGTTGAGGCACAATACATATTAGCTTTCAAAAAGGAATTAGATACATACCCAAAAAAAGAGTAACCATCAAGGTATGGGGAAAGGGCAGGTAACTGGGACTGAAAGGCTTGCTCTTAAAAGAGCCAGCATAGACAGGTGGGCCAAATGCCCTTCTTCTTTGCTGGAAATTTCTATGCTGTGCGCAATTTGCTGTCAATTTACTTTATAATATATTCTGTGAAGAGCTTTGAGACGTCTCAAAAATGTGATCTATTAAATGGAAGGATTAGTATTATTATTAACTCTGATTCTTGATTCTGATTTCAGGGCCGTTGCGATTTGTCATTATTCACAAAGCTTGCATTTACTACTTCAAAACCAGCACCTCACCGTTTCCGCAGGGAGCTTTCTCCCTGAATGGATACAACAGGTCAGTACCCAATAACTTAACTAGCAGTACAATGCTGTCTTTCGTGCTGGTACAAGGGGATAATATGTTGACTATGTTGGCATGTATACTTGTCTTAGAGGACCTGATGAGCTGTTACCTTCTTAAATAATAATAATCCTTGCATTTGATATTGCACCTTATCACATCGTTGAGACAAAGTGATAAGGTCCTATATCAAAGCCCTTCAGAATATACTGTAAAATGAGTTGATTGTGTAGTTTGTAGGCGAAGCCCGGCAGCCAACTGCGCACAGCGGTGACCCGCAAATAATCATGGATTGAATGACTAATTATTATTTAATTGTTTATTTTTTTCAATTGACTAACAACCGGATTCCTACTAACTACTAGGTAAACAGAGGCAAGTGGAGTAAGGAAACTTGCATGAGGTTTTGCCTTGCCTGTGAATCGAATCCAGGTCCTCTCACTTGCGAGGCGAGTGCTTTAACCAATACGCTGCAGGACTGCCTCACTGTTCATGCCCCCACACCAGCATCAATGACTTTTTTAAAAAAAGGCCGGCCTTCCCGTAAATATATTTTTAATTCTCAAGAAAACCCTAACACCTGTTGTTTTGTTATGATGGAAATGCTGATGTGCGCCCCAAACTGTTAAGGTTACAGCTGTCGCCTCATAGCAAGACTCGGTTTGGTTACAGACAACATCTCCAGCAGGAAGTGTGGTTCTTGTGGAAGAGCCCATTGGCTGATATTTCATGTCTTCAGCACCTCCGTCACCACCCAGACCCCGCCTTCCCCCCAAAATTATTTAATCTGTAAACAGTTCTAATCAGACTGACACCTTCTTTACACTTACAAATGAGGTCATGAATATCATGCCAGTGTAAGTGCACACAGGATGACAATAACAGTGCACACAGGATGACAATAACTGGCAGATCACTTTTCCGGAGGTAATAATTCCTTCAAAAAAAAAGAAAAATAATTTGGTCACTCAATCCACGACTGTTTGTGGGACACTGCTGTGCGTAATTGGCTGCCATGGTTCACCCACAAAATATACAGTCAATTCACTTAACAATATATTTGGTGAAGCGCTTTGAGACACCTTGTGATAAAGCGCTATGTCAAATGCAAGGATTATTATTATATATTGTATTATTTTAACAACAACCTGCATTTATATAGCGCCTCCACACAAAGTAGCATCTTGGAGCAAAGGACGACTCGTTACAACACCTGACATGTGGGACAAATGGATATAGAGATTTTATTTATATAAATAACTTGGCTTGACCTGGTTTTGAGCAAATATGGGCACATTGAGAGAGAGAGAGAGAGAAAGAGAGTGAGATCTGATGAGGCGTGGGCTGATGCTATGGTTGCTGATTTAACTCCAAGACCCTATTGCGTTAGAACAGCGCTATATAAATGCAAGCTGATTTCAGCCTGCAGTGCAGATTCACCAGACTTACACCAGGGCTTAAAGGGTTAAATTACGAGGACAGATTGCAGAAACTTGATCTGCATTCCCTTGAGTTTAGAAGATTGAGCGGTGATCTGGTTCAGTTGTTTAAAAAGATAAAGGAATTCCATAGGGTTAGCTACAGGGAAGCTATCTCCTTTGGTGGGGGAATCCAGAACAAGGGGGCATACATTTAAAATGAAAGCTAGGCCATTTAGAAGTGAATTTAGGAGGCAGTTTTTCACTCAAAGTGTAGTGGAAATCTGGAACTCAGTCCCTTAAAAGGCTGTGGATGCTGGATCCATTCAAATGTTCATTTTAAAAAAAATCCAAAATCAGGGTGGGGTTAGAATCAATGACCCCTCAGCATGTACTATAGTACAGATTCTTCTTCACAAAGGGAAAAAATGGGCAACAAAATGGAGCAAATAGATATGTAAACTGCCGTATCTGGTTTCTTTATCGGATTAACATGCACAGGATGTTTTGTTCATTAGATGATCTGAAGTGCTTTGTTCAGACACAAGGATGAGGTGCAATGGGGACAATAATAATAATAATCCTTGCATTTGATCCTTGCATTTTCTCTAGCAACTTATCATGTCATAGAGATGTCTCAAAGTACTTCACAAGATATATTGTAAAGTGGATTGACTGTGTATTTCTGGGCAATTGTGCACAGCAGTGTCCCACCAATAACCATGGAGTGAGTGACCAATTTTATTTGGAGGATTGTTGGCCAGACCACAGGAGAAACTCTCTTCTCTTTTCAAATAGTGTCATGAGATCTTTAACATCCCCTGAACAGGCAAACAGGACCTCGGTTTAACATCTAATCCGAAGAATGGCACCTCCAACAAAGCCACTGCCCCAAGCACTGCATTGGAGTTTCAGCTTCGACTGTGTGATTCCAAGTCCTGACATGGGACTTGAACCCACAACTATCTGACTTGGAGGCGAGAGTGCTAGCAATTGAGCCAGGCTGACACACCTGGAACACACAATCCCATCAATTGGAAGCAATTAATTGAAAGGTTGGATCCTGTCTGGTACCAGTTATTCTTGGCTGCAATGTAGATATAAAGTTACCCTAAGAGAATCGTTGTTAGTGCCCACCTGAGCAACTTAAATCAAGATGATCTCATATGTTAGTGCAAGACGATTAACCAATAATAATAATAATAATCCTTGCATTTGATATAGCGCTTTTCACGTCGGGAGGACGTCCCAAAGCGCTTCACAGAATATACTGTAAAGTGAATTGACTGGATATTTGTGGGCGAACGCGGCAGCCAATTGCGCACAGCAACGTCCCACAAACAGTCGTAGATTGAAAATGACCAATTTATTATTGTTTTTGGTTTTTGGAGGGATTATTATTAGGTGTGTGGAGTAAGGAAACTTGCCCAAGGTTTCGCCCTGACCTGCCTGGAATTGAACTCAGGTCTCTCACTTGCAAAGCGAGTGCTCTAACCACTGAGCTACAGGGCTCAGGCGATCTCATGGCTATAATGACTGATTATACTGCACAAGTCACTGAGGTTACTCAGCTCATTCCTTGGCTCTCAGTCCTTTTACTTATCAAAGGTCTCTGGCCTACACGTCTTTTACCTTCGAAGAATTCTGATTAAGGTTACATTAACAATCCCAAAGTACTTGTCCATTCTTTTCAGGTTTTCATTTTGACTTTCAAAAGCCAGAATTTTCTACACTATAAATTTGGCTTATATATTTATATGAGTATCTGCCTAAAGTTGCTGTGAATTTTACTTGCCTCAATGAGATACTGGACTTCTTATAAATGCTGTCCAGACATAGTTTCAGACTGGCTGAATATGTGAGTCCTAATTACTTGGTTTAGTATGCACCTATTTTGCTTTTTATTGCGATGATCTCATTCACTGAGGGCTTCTCATTGTACAGAAGCAAAAGTCTATTTCACAAAAGGTCACAAATTCGAAGCCTGGCATTTGCTGTCGACCAAAACCACATTCCTCTGCATTAGAAGAATTTTATTTGCGTGCGCCTGTGGTTTTACAAACAAGAGGGTACTTGGTGTTCACAGATCGTGTCCATTTGAGCGGAGACAGGATGTGTTGCATGTGGTATCTTTACAGCTCCCTGCAGGGCTGGTGGTGAATAAAAGCTACTGTATCTCGATTCGGGTCACTTGCATGTCAAAACCTAGTAGTTTCTTATTTGAGTTTGGTTTCAGCTGTGTTTACAATCACATCTTGTTGTGGGTCTTCAGACTGTCTCCCACAGTATTAGCCAATTCTGTCTGCATTTCAGTTTGAATTCAGCTCCGCTCCCCTATTTTTTCACATTGAATATTCTGTATTAACTCTAAATTTCGGTCATTGTAGAGAAACCTGTAGCGTAATGGTTAGTGCGCTCGCCTCGCAAGCAAGAAGAACTGGGTTTGATTCCCAGACAGTGCAAAACCTTAGGCAACTTTCCTTACTCCACATGCCTCTGTTTAGCTAGCAGTAAGTAGAAACCCAGTTGTTAGTTGATTGGCAGATCATTTTCCAGGGGAGGGATAATCCCTTCAAAAACTTAATAATAATAATTTGGTCACTCAATCCACGATTGTTTGTAGGACACAATTGGCTGCCGTGTTTCGCCCACAAAATATACAGTCAATTTATTTTACAGTAACGACGTGATAATGTGCAATATTAAATGCAAGGATTATTATTACATTTATAGTTTACTCATTTATTTCCAGATCATCATCTATTTAGTGATTATTAATTTAGGTCATGTCTGCCTTGCGATTTTAGATGGACCCTGGTCACATCCCTCCCACCCCATGTTGCTATTTCCAAGGAACAATGAAAATTCCCTCTTGTATTCCTTTGGTTTAATATCCACATATTTTGGTTTGTTGGTCTTGATGCTGAAATGATGTAATTCACTAAGGGCTTGTAAACTAGAGAAACCAATAGCAGTTTCACTAAAGGTCACAACTTCAAACCTTGGGTATCTTATCTTCTCATTGAAATTCCACACCCAAATTCTTAACAAACTGGCTACTCAACTCATTTCTAGGCTGCTACTGGGCTTGTGTCCACTTTATTTCTAATTAAGCTCATTCTGTAAATCAAGATGTTTTTTTACATGAAATTGAATTTATTGCTGATCCTCCTTTTCCCGTATCTGCTGTATCTGGAGGGTAGTTGTCCACAATCTATCTCTGGGATTTCCATGTGTAGGTGGGATGCATGGGATTCTCAGCTTGGTTTGGATATTCTCAAGAATATTGCTAGGTTTCCGCATGTGTCAGAACCTGGGTGACCAAAAAATATCTGTTGCCCAAAGTCACATTGACCCTCCTCTTACTTGATTCCCCCCACCTAATACTTGGTCCCTCCCCACTTACTTGGACCCCACCTCTTACTTGCTCCCCGCTCTTACTTGCTCCCTCACCAGCATGTACTTCTGCATGATACAGGAAGGGATCCTTTGCTCAGACCACTATTCCCTGCCTTTTCCCTGATTGACCCTGTTGATTCCTCCTCAGAGATAACAGAACATGGATGATTGTTGTGCCTGGGATGAGACATCTGGTCGAGGGCGATCAGAGGCTGTTTCTTTGACGGTCCTCTCTCTCTGTAAACCAAAATTGTGTTTTAAGTAAAGATATTTTATCTTTGTAGATGTTTCCAAACCTTTTTTTTTCCCCCCCCTCCTCCACTTGTAATTTGCTGAGGGTGAGTATGGCCTTGCGATTGCAGTTCTGTGCTGTACCCTGGATGGATTGAAACTCTATCCAGCACCAGTGTGGAGCCAAACAGGTTTAGCTCTGTTGATTCTTATGTAGGTGGGATTTCCATGTGCAGATGGGATGCATGGGATTCTCAGCTTGGTTTGGATACTCTCAAGAATGGCGCTAGGTGCCCTGGATGGACACACACTTTTTACAGTAGAATCTGTTTCTCTCTCTGCCTCTTCCTCAGGGTGATGAGAGCAACGGAGGAAACGACTTCCAGCAACGTGTTTCCCTTCAAGATCATTCATTTCAATAGGAAACACCGAACTTGGTTCTTCTCAGCATCCTGTGAAGAGGAGAGGAAGGTGAGGCAGGCGTGTGAGGTGTGCAAAGTTCTGGTTATTTTATCAAGTTGTTGCTGTTGTTGAGTACAGGAATATCCAAGGTCACTTACTATGTCAGCTGTGCCAGCCTCCTGAGGCTGTGGAGCTGAACATTGGAACTGAAGTGGAGAAGGTATGTTGCAAAGAATGTATAGGATGGAAACAGGCCACTCGACCCAACCACTGTGTTTATACCCCACACAAGTTTTCACCCATTTCTCCCCCCACCCCAACCACCAACCCCCATACCCCTCTCCCTTCTTTGAAGGTCTAACTTAATCAGACAGACATTGTAAAAGATATTGAAAAAGATGGGGAAATGGGATTAAAAGGCACTATCTGTCATAATCTGATAAAATGGCACAAGTGTTATGCGACTGGCAGTTCCATGTGCTGCTCTCTCACTCATGTACATCTTGCGATTACTACTCCTTCAGATGTGGATGATGACTTTGCGGAAAGAAATCGATCACTACCACGAGAAAACGGATTCACAAGGATCAAGGTACCTAGTTACGTTGACTGTTAGCGTCTACACCTTCACTACAGGCTTCTCCGCGCCAATATCCGGCACGGGCACGTAGGAACATAGGAATGTAGGAAAATATCGTTGGACAATGATATGATATGAATATTACTCGCTGCAATACTCAGAATGCTGGGATATCTGCAAACGGCATTTCCTTTACACCAGGGTGACCCAACTGGTGGCCCGCGGACCGCATCCACCTCAGGGAATATTTTACTCCGACTCGGAAACCATTTCTAAATTCATTGTCCATCGAGCAAATACACGCAGGCCCTGAGCCAATCAGGAGACGGTCACTGTGGGTTTAAGGGACAACGGGACTGGCCAATTAGGATAACAGACTGCTATTGAGGTCCCAGGACGTTTCTCCAATCCGGCATCTGACCCTCAGCAGCCAAAAGTTGCACCACTCTGTTTATACGTATCAAGTCATTCAAAAATATGCAAAGGATGGAATTCCTTTCATCAGCACAAATCTAATCTATGTTCTAGTATCTCTAAGCTGTATTTCTGTTGGTACTCAGATCATTAACAGATGTATCCTCCCACTAGGTTTGGCCCCTGCTTGATGCTGGGTTAGCTCATCTCAGCAGAGACGGGGGTGGGGCACGACAATTGGCTTTTGTATCCTGAGTCTTGCGCAGGGAGGGGAAGAAATTTGTCAGGATTTCCAATCCTCCTTGAATCTTAATGATTCCCTGGTTGAAGTATGAGAACTCGGATCTCACATCACACTCGGGTGAGGGGGAAGAGGAAAAACTTGCAAGATCAGGGAGCATTGGATGGAAATAAGTAATAAAAATATTAGAGGAAAACCCACAGGAAAACAAATGATTTGAAACATTTACTAGTTTGGAATTTTAACTTGATAGCCTTTGGGAAGATCTGTAATAAACATTCTCCTAAGAGATTGTATGTGGCTTGAGTTCACAATAGAGTCCACAATAGTATGGTTTAATGTGATCTATGCAAGTAGCAAGCTAGTTCCTTGTGTTATTGTGTTCTTCCAACAGGCTGGGATAGGAAATAGCCTTGTGATCATCGCAGTAATATTTTCTGTTAAAGAATATGGTTTGATTGTGCAAATGATGACTTATTAGATCTGCAACTGCAAAGCGACTGTGGGTCTGGATCACATGGTGTCCTCACAGTTCTAAGAAGGAAGATATTTGTAATGATCTAAATCTCTTAGATCCTAGTCAGATACTTCACGCTTGAAGAGAGATCCTCAACATGCACTTATAGTCTTGAAAATAGAATTGAGCCAGTTGGAAGTGAGATCAGAAAAATGACCGTGTTGAGAGAATGTGGAAAGCATTTTTCAAGAAGGTTGTAAATCAATTGGCATATTTAAAAGGGAGGTGGATAGTTACTTGGAAAGTAAGGATAATCGGAGAAAGGAGAGGAAATGGGATTAAAAGATCCACCATGATTGAATACATTGGCAGAACAGATTGGTGCAGGTTGAATGAATGACCAACTCATTTTCCAATCCTCCTAAGTACATGGCCATAGAGTGGCTGACCACAGGAATAAAAAAAGCAGCTCAAATTTTGTAATTTCATGCTCCTCCCACTCACCTACAAATCACTTCACACCCAGCACCTGCCTACCTCTCCAACCTGCTCACATTCAGGCTTCAGCCTTCTGCAAGTTGTTGATGTTGATGATGAATGATGTTGGGGAAGAGTACAGACCTCCAGCTAGCTCTTAATTTTATTTTAACTCTTATCTCAATTATGTAAAATACATAGCCAGTGCTATTTGCAGTATATCTTACGATTTATTGTTTGTTTCATTCCAGTGACACCAACTCGGATTCTGACAGTTTCTATGGCTCAATAGAACTGCCAGTGGCGATCAAATACGTTCCAGGGCAAACGACTTCTGGAGGTAGGAGATTCCCGACTGTTTGTGGGCCTCTGCTGTGCGCAATTGGCTGCAGTGTTTCGCCTATAAAATATACAGTCAATACACTTTACAGTATATTCTGTGAAGCGCTTTGAGACATCTCAAAGATGTGATAAGGCGCTATTTCAGATGGAAGGATTATTACTGTTACTCCCATTCCACTTTTCCCTTACTTATGAAACTCTAGGGGTCGAAACTGCAGCATTCCTGAATGCATTCCAACCCTGGATCGTCAGCAGTTAAAAATGTTCCCAATCCTCACAAGAAAATAGGGCGGATTCTGGACTTATTTGTCAGATATTGGCTTAAAAAAATATTTTTTTTATGGCAGCTGGTGACCTTTTTGATAGATGAGTTTGTCTAATCAGGCTATCCTGTTACATGGTAATGGGACCTATGCACATGCACAAAGCCTTGGCCTCTGTCCCTCTAGCATTGTTCCCATGGCTTCCCCGATGATATTCACTTGTTCCCATGGTGACTCCTAAGATTTGGCCAAATTTGGTTTAGAAGTAAAACAGTGAAGGTAAAAAAATGGTCCAAAGGGCTTCGATTGGGAGAAAAAAGCAGGTCCTTCACTCTGAAGAGAACGAGGGCGAGTGTTCAGACGTGTGACACTCAGTTAATACCTTTAGGGTTGGTTGTGAGGCAGTACTGTGAAGTTTGGCATTAGTGCTAAATAGCCATTGGTTCATTTCTCAAAGAGATGTCTGTAGTTGAATGGCATTGATCTACAACCGATGCAAGACATGGTCAGGAAATAATGCCATTGTGCAAATGTGCAAAGTTGCATGATGTTTCTAGGGATACGTTTTGCCCACAAAATACACTTTACAGCATATTCTGTGAAGTGCTTTGATACGTCTCAACAACGTGATAAGGTGCTATATCAAATGCAAGGATTATTATTATTTTTATTATTGTTATGCTCTGATGCAATAATAATAACCAAATGTGCAATGTCGCACATACTCAGCAGCAGGGTTTTTTATTGCCAGTAGGGAAGAAATTCTCTGTATTTATTCCTGACACAGTTTAGATTGAGAGATATTCTGGAGAAAGAGAGATGTGCGGGAGGGAGGGAGGGAGGGAGATAGGTAGGTATCAGTTTCAGTATACGACTCCCTAGACATAACTTGTGGACTCGTCATTCATTGTGTAAGGTTTGCTTAAGGTTGTTAAGATGTCATCCTGACTCAATTGGTAGTCCTCTCGACTCAGAGGTTGTAGGTTCAAGCCACATGTCGGGAATTGAAACTCATATAGTTTTGCTTACTCTAATATAGTGCAGTGATGGAGATGTTCTGCATTGTTGGAGGTTCTTTCCTTCAGAGGAGACTTTAAACTGAGGCCCCATCTACCTGTTCAGGTGGATGTTAAAGATCCCATGGCATTATTCGAAAAGAGAAGGGTGTATCTCCCTGTGTCCTGCCCAACAATCCCATCCCAAATAATAAAAACATCAGTCATTCACATGGCTGTTTATGGGACAATGCTCTGAGCAAATTGACTGTCCACAAAACACACGGTCACACCACTCTACAGTACATCCTATAAAGCACTTTGGGACACCCCTCTGATGTGAAAGGTGCGAAACCAAATGTAAGGATTATTTTGATCGCTCCGAGACACTATCCTGCCTGAAGGGTGCTTTACAAATGCAACTTTTTGCTGTGAAGGGCTCATGGAGCAGTATCAGAGAACACTGTAGAGTGGATAACATCTGAAGTCTTATGACCTGGAGTCTGTAATAGCTAATAAAACGCTTATAAGCCAATAAAATGCACACTGCTGTGCGCAATTGGCTGCCATGTTTCGCCCACAAATGTACAGTCAATTCACTTTACAATATATTCTGTAAAGCTCTTTGAGATGTCTAGAAGATGTAAAAAGCACTATATCAAATGCAAGGATTATTATGTTATATATAGATTACAAGGGGAAGAAAAGTGTGAAGTTGACTAAGTCTGTTTTCCATCCTCTTTCAGATTATGATGATGAGGAGGACTATCTGAAGCCAGATGGTAGGAACTAAAGTACAATTTGTACATCTTTTGATCCATTTTTTTCATGATAATTGTTGCAGGGTAGTTATCACGACTTTTTGGTCACCATGTACATATACAGTCAGGCTGTGGGAGTTAAGAGTACTTTTATTTGAAGCAGAACAGAGTGATAAGAACATAAGAAATAGGAGCAGGAGTAGGCCATTTGGCCCCTCGAGTCTGCCCCACCACTTAATAAGATCATGGCTGATCTTCTAACTAAATTCCATTTACCCGCCCTATCCCTTAATCCCTTTAGTTTTTAAAAATCTATCAATCTCAGTCTTGAATATGTTCAATAACTGAGCATCCACAGCCTTAGAGAATTCCATAAATTCACCACCCTCTGAGTGAAGAAATGTTTTCTCAATTCAGTTCTAAAGGGCTGACCCTTAATCCTGAGAATATGACCCCTAGTTTTAGATTTTCCAACCAGGGTAAACAGTCTCGCAATATCTACCTTGTCAAGACTGTTAAGAATCGTATAGGTTTCTATGAGATTACCTCTAATTCTTCCATAATCTAGAGAATATAGGCCTAGTCTACTCAGCCTCTCCTCGCAGATTTTAGCTCTGCAGCAGCCTGTGTGCTGTGCCTGTGATGGGAGTGCTCGAGTTTTTTTGTGTGTTTTTTTTTGGTCAGCTGTGTGTCTATAACACATGTGGAAACCCAACACCATCCAAATCAAATTGAAAATGTCATGCATCCCACGTTCCAGGTCCTGCTGTTGAGCCAGGCTGGCTGTGCTGCCATTAGCAGTGCCCTGGAATACTGCAGGAACTGAACTACCGAGACCGCCAGAGGGCTGGGCTCGATTCCGAAATTCCATTGCCAAATATGTCACCGTGGAGCCAATTCAGCTCCAAGGAGACCCCACTTACCGAGGCTCAAGTGGATGCCAGAAGAGTAAACAATGTGATATTCTTGGATATCTCTTTAATGAACAAAAAATTTAAAATGTTGAATATGATAAAGAATCATATAATTATAAAGTATTGACTCATTCAGATGTTCTAATTTGCAGGTGTATGTGGGGAGGGGGAGGGAATATTGCAGACTTGTTACATTTTTATGCACAATAATTAAATTTGCAGAGTGGCATTGAAATATTTTGTTTGCTTTTCTGCACTTTAGATTTTCTACCGCAGCAGCAAGAGCCTCCAGAATATCCAGAGAATCGCAAGCCATCGCTGCCACCCCTGCCTCCTCCTAACAAACCAAAATTTATACAAAACCAAAATTTGGCAGTCTCTCCGCCCCCAAGACCTGAGAAGTTCAAACCACCATCTCTTGCAAGTCACTGGTCTGCCCCACCTCCTGGGTACCTGAAGGCCTTGCCCAGTGCAAAGGAACTGCAGCAGAAGCCAAAAGTAATTCCAAGTTGTCCTAACTTTAGTGCCAAAAGCCCGAACCTTCTCATAGACGAATTAATTACGCAGAATCAACATCGAAGAATGTCTGAAGCAGAGGCGCCTCCGTTGCCGTTGAACAAGCCCAAATTCAAAGTGAATTCCCCCCCATATGAAATTGCCAAACCCACGTTATACAAACCTGACATATTGCCCAAACCAGGTGCCACCTCGCCAAAGCCACCGCCTCTCGCCAGCAAGCCTAAAGCAAGGAAGCCCAGCAACGTGTCGCTGGTGACTCTTCAGTAAGTCAGACATTATTATTACAGTAATCAAATTGAACATTGTATTAGGTAGAGCCAAGCTCTTCTCCCCCAAGTAAATGGATACGTAGAACAAAGCCCGCATAGTGAAATTTAACATTGCAATTAATGAATTGTGATTCAAATTTAATATTGCATGACACCCAATTGTCTGCTTTTATAGATCAATGTCAAATCTAGGGCATAAATAATAATAATAATAATCCTTGCTTTTGATACAGCACTTTCCACACCATCAAGACATCTCAAAGTACTTCACTGGATATACACTGTACAGTGGTGTGACTGAATTATGTGGGCTAAATGGTAGGAGTTGCCTTTTAGCATTAAAGTAACAGTTTGCAACAGATGTAGAATATCTAGTCTATCTATCCAAGTTCCCAAAATACGTCAAAGGGACAAGTCCATAGACAAATTTCCATATGCCACACACCTCTGTTTACCTAGCAGTAAATAGGAACCCATTTTTCAGTCAATTGGTGGATTGCTTTCCGGGGGTAAATACTCCCCCCCCCCACCCCCTCCCAATAATAACAAATTGGTCACTCAATGCTGTGAGCAATTGGCTGCTTTGTTTCGTATACAAAATATGCAGTCAATTCACTTTACAATATATTCTGTGAAGAGCTTTGACATGTCTCAATGATGTGATAAGGCGCTATATCAAATGCAAGGATTAGTGTTATTATCTATTGCGGTAACGGCTCCTGATCACATTCTGGGGCGTTCGATGTGTAGATATTCATCTCCCTGAAAGGTCAGAGGGAAGGGAAAAGGATTTAAGAACCAATCACCCAGCATCTCACTGTTGAAGAACAGAATGGTCAGTCCTCTACCTATTAGTGGAGGTATGTGAGTTACAGGAAGACTTAAAGGGCAGAAAATAAGATAATAATAATAAGGCCTCGGAGAGAGTGCAAAGGAGATTTTTCTCAAGGAGATTGATACCAGGGAAGAGGGATTTCAGTTATGTGGAAAGACGAGAGAAGCTGGGATTGTTCTCCTTGGAGCAGAGAAGGTTAAGGGGAGGTTCAACGAGATGTTCAAAATTATGAAAGGTTTTGATACGGTAAATAATTATGAGGGGTTTTGATCCTGTTTTCACTGGTTGGTGGGTTGGTAACCAGAAGACACATAATAATAATAATATTCCTGGCTTTTTATATAGCGGCTTATCACGCCTTCGAGACGTCTCAAAGCGTTTCACAGAATATACCATAAAGGGACTTGACTGTATACTTTATGGGTGAAACACGTCAGCCAATTGTGCACAGCAGTGTCGTGCAAACATTCAAGATAATTAGCAAAAGAAACAGAGGGGAGGTGAGGAGAAAACATTTTTATGTAGCGAGTTCTTACGATCTGGAATGCATTGCCTGAAAGGGTGGTGGAAGCAGATTCGATAATAAATTTCAAAAGGGTATTTATTTGAAAAGAAAGAAAATTGCAAAGCTATGAGGAAAGAGTGGGGAAGTGAAACTAATTGGATAGTTCTCTCAAAGAGTCACCACAGGCATGATGGCTTCTTTCTGTGCTGTAAGATTCAATAATAACTCATCATATATAAGAAACCACAGATGAGAAATGTCCCTTTTCTGACCTTTCAGTACACTCCAACATTCTGATCTGTGTTTTAAACACAAATAGATTTTTTTAAATCTTCTTCCCTCTGCCTTGCAGAACCTGGATGAATCTAACTTCCTGTTAAATTAGGAGGCGTATTCTTTCCCTTCCTGGATGATTCAGTTCATTCACATTCACTGTTGCCACAGCCAGTTATTTCATTTCTTTAACCATTGAAGGTTTGAAGAATTTGCTCCGATTATATTTGTCCCATAGTTTACTCATCTCATCTTATTGTGCCTCTGATCCTGCATAATAATGAATCTAGATTCCGAAAGGTCTGGTTGAAAGCTCAGGTTATTTTTTATAATGTGATCTTTGAGCTAACATTTTGAACACTTAAGTTTTCATTCACCCACAAAACACAGTCACTACACTTTACAGTATATCCTGGTGAAACGCGTTGAGACATCATCATGACCTGAAAGGCGCTATACCAAATGTAAGGATATTATTGACTCAAATAGGACTATTGAATGACTGAATACACTGAAAAAGTTAGGAAAATAATTCTTAGCAGGCTAAACGGTGTGATATACAGGAGGTACAATTCATAGTATCTTAACCTGATTCCTTAATAAAGAATTAGTGTTAAATAGGAGTCTATATTTTCTTACCAAAGAATCCTGTTAACATAACTTATACTTCAATCACAGTATCAGTGCCAACTATACATTTTTAAGAACTGTAGAAAACTGGCTTCCAAATTAAAACTTTCACATAATTCTGTTCATTCTTATGTTTTGGACAAAATGGTCCAGAGGTTGGTGGAAGTTTGGCTTCAGCAGAGGGCAGGAAAGAGAATAAAATTGTTTAAAAAAGCCACCCAACAACAATCACTTGTATAGTCAGTTAATTTTTTCCACAGAGTCCTGTTTTTTTTTGCAGTGCACTGACTGAAACATGTGGAAGTATGGTGACAACCGTATTTAGAAGTACTTAATTGTATCCAATACAAGTGTTTAACTGTATATAGACGTTCAGAGGATCAGTGTGTGTGAGTGCCATAATTTTCATGTTTGGTGCAACATCTTCTGTAACATGATGGCGTGATGACGCGAAATGCATCTCTGACAGCTTGTTTCAGCTCCTCCGTAATCTCATATCTCTGTTTTGTAATAGGGGGTAAGAAGACTTTGTGGACACCCTGTTGTATGTTAATGTTCTAATATTAGTGTGCTTTTCTTCCAGGCGAATATCTCCAGAAGGACAAAGTTTCCGCTTGCCTGAAATTGAAAAACCCAAAACTTGGCAGTCAACGCAAGAGTCAAGTCACTCACCGGATGATGATGATGACGATTATGAAAATGTAAATATGTGCTTTGCAACCTAGGTTCTGAAGAGTAACTGGATGAGTGACATAGCAAACAAAAGTTTTAATGGCACTCTGGAAAATGCAACATACTTTTATTGAATGTAGAAATGCAAGATTCTATCACCAGGCAGAACTTCGTCTCTGATAACAACAACAACAAAATTACATTTGTATAGTGTCTTTCACATCTGGAGGATGTTCCAAGGTGATGGACAGACAGAGTTTCGGACCCGAGCTGGGGGTCGGGATCGGCGAGGGTGGAGGGTAAGGGGGAGGAGCAGGGAAGTCGAAAGCACGATCGAAGAGGACGGTCTTGAGATGCATCTTAAAGGAGACAAGGGAGGGGGCAAGGCAGAGGGACTGTGGGATGGAGTGGCAGAAGGCCCACCCACTAATAGTGGGGAGAGAGAGGCAGGGGAAGAGAAGCAGGCCAGAGTCTGCTGAGCGGAGGGAGCAAGCAGAATGGTAGGGGGTTAGGAGGTCACAGAGGTAGGGGAAGCAAGACCATGGAGGGCTTTGAAGATGAGGATCAGGATCTTGAACTGTATCTTCTGTGTGATGGGAAGCCAGTGAAAGATGGGGGTAATAGGGGCACAGAGCGTGGTGCGGGAGAGGACACAGGCTGCAAAGTTCCGGATGATCTGGAGCCTATGGAGGAAGGAGTTGGGAAGGCCGACAAGCAGGGAGTTTGCATAGTCAAATTTTGATGTAATGAAAGTGTGTATGAGAGTTTTGGCAGCCTGCAGAGTGAGACAGTGGCAGAGCCGGGTGATGTTGTGGAGGTGGGGGAAGGCAGAGCGGGTCATGGTACGGATGTGGAGTAGAAAGGATAGTTGAGGGTCAAACAAGACCCCAAGGTTACGGACTGGCTTAGCAAGGTGGAAGTGTGCAACCATGGATGGTGATGCTGTCAGCGCCTGAGGTGTGGAGGCACTAACGGGAATCAATCAGGAGAGCCTCGGTCTTATTGACATTCAAACTGAAAAAAGTTAGCTCTCATCCAGGACGTGATGTCTGACAGACATTCTGTCAGGACAGCAGTGGTCCTGGAGTCCAGGGTGGAGGCAGAGAGGTAGAGTTGGGTGTCATCCGCATACATGTGGAAGTTGACCCCATGTCTGTGGATGATATCACCAAGAGGGAACATGTAGATATCGAAGAGGAGGGGACCAAGGATAGAGCCCTGAGGAACGCCGCACAAGATGGTGAGGGCTAGATGAGAAATCTTTTGTGGAGATGAAGTGGAGGTGGTGTGAGAGGTACAATCTGAACCAGTCAAGGACAGAACTGTGAAGGTTGAGGTGAGAGGAGAGGCAGTGGATAGAGTGGTCGACGGTGTCGAAGGCAGAAGAGAGATCAAGGAGGACGAGGAGGCAGAGAGAGCTCTGATCGCAGATTGACAGAATGTCATTTGTCACTTTGACCAGGGCTGTTTCTATGCTGTGGGCGGCATGGAATCCTGATTGGAGGGTTTCGTGAAGGGCGTGGTGGGAGAGGAAGGAGCAAAGCTGGGAAGCAACAACTCTTTCCAGGACTTGGAGAGGTTGGAGATGGGGATAGAGAGTAGAGATGGATCCAGGGAGGGTTTTTTAAGGATAGGAGTGATGACAGCTCTTTTTAATGGGGCGGGAACAGTACCAGTGGACAGGGAAAGGTTTACGATGTCTGTGAGTAGAGGAGCAAGGAGGTGAAGCTGGGAGGTAAGGAGAGGGGTAGGGATGTGGTCGAGGGCCAGGTGGTTGGCTTCATGCTGGTTATAGTGTGGTGAGAGAGGAGTAGAAGACAGATTCAAAGGTGTGGAGAGAGGGATAGATCGGGGCTGGAGTGGGAGGGGGAGATGGGGAGGGTGTAGCAGACGGAATGACAGGCAGCTGAGCAGATCCCCTCTACTTTGGATTCAAGGAAGGGCAGCATTCCTCGCATTTGTCATTTGAGGTGAGGATGGGCGAGGTGTGAGAGGGTGGGCGAGGAGCCGGTTGGTGATGGAGAAGAGCAGCCTGGAGTTGTCCAAGATTGTCTTGGAGTAGAACAACGATTTAGCGGAGGCGAGGGAATGAGCGGTAAGACTTGATAGGATCCAGCCAGATCTGCCGATGGACCGTTAAGTTTGAGTGAAGCCAGGTGCGCTCAGCAGCACGCATCTGTGCTTTAAGGGAGCGGAGGTGGCTGGTGTACCATGGTGACTTTTGTGAATAGGAGACGGTTCGGGAAGAGAGGGGAGCAAGGGAATCGAGAGTGGAGGAGAGGGAGCTGTGGAGAAGAGTGACCGAGGAGGATAGGTCATTGCAGGTGGAATCCCACAGGGGCAGGAGTTCAGATGACTCCAAGGCAGCTGAGTGGGAGTGGGGGGAGGGGGGAGATTTTTTTCCAGGGGCGGTAGGAGATGGAGGCGAGTTGGATGGTGGTGGGGGAGAGGGATTGAGGAGTTAAGGGAGATGAAGTGATGGTCTGAGATCGCTTTGTTGATGATGGTGAGGTCCGAGATGGTGAGGCCCCGAGTGATCAACAGATCGAGGAGGTGACCGCAGACCTGGGTGGCAGAGTGGATGTGGAGGGAGAGGTTGAGGGATGAGATAAGGGAGGAGAAGTCATCAGAGACAGAGCAGGATGGGGTGAAGTGAAGGTTGAAGTCGCAGAGATGAGGATGCATTCGGAGCAGAGGGAGAAGGAAGATAGGAGGGTGGAGATGTCGGGGTTGAAGGTGGGGAAGGCCTGGGGGGTGTTAGATAAGGAGAATTTTGAGGGAAAGGTTGGCGAGGTAATAAAGGATAAGGTGCTTGAAGGAGGGGAAGTCTCCAGAGGAGTAAGGGGGATAGGCTGAGTGGGGACCGGGAGATGAGAGCCACCCCACCACCACAGCGTTAGGTCATAGGGCATGATGGAAGGTGTAGCCGGGTGGTGTTGCCTCTATCCGGGGCAGTGATAATAATCCCTGAAACAAAAAACAATAATAAATTGGTAATTTCAATCCACAACTGTTTGTGGAACACTGTTGTGCGCAATTGGCTGCGGTATTTCGCCCACAAATATACAGTCAATTCACTTTACAGTCTATTCTGTGAAGTGCTTTGAGACGTCTAGAAGACGTGAAAAGAGCCATATCAAATGCAAGGATTATTAATATTATTAAGGTGTCGCCTGGGGTGACCCAGGTTTCAATGAGGGAGAGAATATCAATGTTTTCATCGATAATGAGATCTTGGATGGTGAGTGTATTGTTGGAGAGGGAACAGACGTTTTGTAGGTGGATGCAAAGGGGACAGTTGGTGGTGGAATGTGGGGGGCGAGGGTGGGGATGGGGTGGACTGATAGGGAGGGTGGGGATGTGGATATGGAAGGAGAGGTTGGCACCCATGGTCAGGGACCAATGGGCCTTGTGGCGAGAATGGGTGACAGGGCAGTCAGAGTGGCTACTGTTGAACAGCCAACAGGTCTGCCATGGTGGGCCCGACTGAGGATTCACAAACTGGAGCAGAGGGAGGCTGTGGGACGATCGAGCGGGGATAGGAGTCGGGGAGGGCGGTGGGAGAGGAGACCGAGTGGAAGTAGTAGAGGGTAGAGGACAGGGGTGGGAGCATTATGGGGAAGCAGCTCGGTTCGGTGGCAGCAGCCAAAATGCACACTCCAAGATTAAGAGCGAATGGCGGTGGTGGAGGGGTCAGAGAGGCATGGTTAACCCTCTGGGGTGGATCATCATGGGGAGAGGGGAGGGGTCAGAGAGGAATGATTAGCCCTCTGGGGTAGATCATCATGGAGAGAGGGGGGAGCAATGTTACAGTCCCAGTGAGTCCAGGCTCAGAGATTCAAAGGTGGCGGGCGGATGTGACGTCACGCGGCAGGTGGTCTCCGGTTGGCTGTTGACCAGGAGCGTCAGCGATGGCCGCCATTGCCGAGGCCGCGATGGTGAATCTCACGTTGGTTCTGCGCGTTCAGGTGGGCGGGGCCTCGGTCCCCACGTTGGATCTTGAAGCTGTTTGGGGAATTGGACTCCACCCCCAGGGCTGGACTCCAGCCCAGCTCGGCTTCGCGGGTCTGCCAGTGGCCCGCTCCAGGCATCGAGTTGAGACCTCGCTCCAGGCGGCGGGTTAGGCCCCGCTCGTGTGAAGACGCCTCGGTCCCCGGTCCAGTCCACGAACTCCTGCCCTCCCCCGCGCAGCTCCAATGGGACTCCGATTGAGCCCACTCGCCAGGATTGCAAAACACACGTTTTTCCCCCTGTTTTTGCCATCATGTTTGACCTCCTCACCATCCCAGCCTCCAGTCCGCCGACATTTTTTAAAATAATAATAATAAATTAATCACATCATTCCATGACTAATTGATCACTCAACCCACCACTGTTTGTGGGACACTGCTGTGTGCAATCGGCTGCTGTGTTTCACCCACAAAATATACAGTCACTACACTTTACAGTATATCCTGTGAAGCGCTTTGAGACGTCTCAACAGTACGATAAGGCGTGGTATCAAATGTCAGGATTATTATTATTATTAATGTTGGTAAATGTAATATTGAAGCTTGATAGAGACGGGGTACGTAACAATAGAATAGAATCGAACAATGTTGACTGCACAGAATTGGGCCATTTTACCCTGTCATGTCTGCGATCGTGCCACCTCCCCCACGGAAGCCTAATCCCATTCCTCTGCTCTCTTTTTTTCCTTCAAATATTTGAAATGTTATTGATTCATTCAAGAGCTATTCGTGGTAAAACATTAATTCTTAAACGTGATCATTTTGCAGATGAATGTGATGTGAAGGAGCTTGGCCTACAATGACCTCTAGTGGAACTATCAGCTAGTTGCAAGGCAGGGGAGGTGGCCCAAGGATAGACAAGAGAAAGGAAGAGAACTGTTGATGTGTATCATGTATACAGAGCAGTGTTCACCTTTGTTTATCAATAAATCGATCGAGTGTAACTTTGATTATCTACTGTTATGGAGAAGGCAGGAAAGGGCAAGATTGCGAAAGGATTTTAAGGCCAGACTGGGAGCTAGAGGAACCAGGTGAAAATGGATTTGTGGAGCAGGGTGAAGGGGAGAAAAGCAATAACAGAAGCAATGTATCTGATCATGTGAATAACTAGTAATTAGGAATGCTTGAGATTTAGCTCTGTAGCAGCAGTGATAAGATAGGAGCACCCTCAGAGATTGTAGGAGTACAGACCTGGTTCCAAAGCAGCTGCCTGGCCACAGATAATAATAATACTTGCGTTTGATATACCGCCTTATCACGTCTCAAAGCAATTGAATGATATACTGTGAAGTGGATTGACTGTGTATTTTGTGGGTGAAACACGGGAGCCAATTGTGCACAGCAGTGTCCCACAAACAAGCTTGAAGTGAGTGACCAATTTTATTTTGGGGATTGTTGACCAGGACACTGAGAGAAACTCCCTTTATTGAACCTTGGGCAAGTTTCCTTACTCCACACAGAGCCTAATAATAATCCCTCCAAAATCAAAAACAATAATAAATTGGTCATTTTCAATCTACGACTGTTTGTGGGACATTGCTGTGCGCAATTGGCTGCCGCGTTCGCCCACAAATATACAGTCAATTCACTTTACAGTGTCTTCTGTGAAGCGCTTTGGGACGTCCTCCCGACGTGAAAAGCGCTATATCAAATGCAAGGATTATTATTATTATTATTAGTGCCATAGGATCTTTAATATCCATTTGTACAGGGAGACAGGACAATTGTTTAACATCTCAGCTTAAGGATGGCACCATTCTTGCCATCCAACAATGCAACATTCCCCCAGCACTACGTTGAAGTGTCAGCTTAGACTAAGCGATTCCAAGTCAACAACAACAACAACAACTTGGATTTATATAGCACCCTTCATGCCGGACGGTTTCTCAGAGCGCTTTACAGTAACGGATCCTGGGACCCCACGTAGGGCTTGAACCCACAACCTTCTGACTCAAAAGGCGAGAGCGCTAACACTGCACCAGGCTGATATTCTGTAGACTTGGCTCCATCTATCGTCCTGCTAACGGATAAGGCTCAATAGGTCAAATATCCTACTCCAGATGCTATGAGCCACCAGAGGATTGAAGGAGGCTGCAAAAAAAGAGGGAACTGACGTGAGCTGACTTTATATTCTGTGCTTCTGTTGTAGGTGCAACTGCCTTCCTCGGTATTTATCAACACAACTGAATCCAGTGATGTCGAAAGGTAATTATTCAGGGCAGCGATGGTCAATTTTATGTAAATACAATCTGCAGTATTTGAAGGATAGATGTTTGAAGGTGTATGGGCATAAAGCAGAGCAATGGGATTGAATGGACAGCTTGCTCTGAGAGCCAGTGCAGACTCGATGGGTCGAATAAATGTCTGATTGTATGACTGACTTCCACGTCAGAAGACTAATATATTGTTGTGAAGCTGGAAAGCTAACATGGCATTTGGGTTCTCTTGGACCTATGTACTAATTGTCACTGGTAATCAATATAGCAACATGTGGTAAGTAGCACACCAATTGCCTGGGTGTTCTGGAGGGAACCCTTCCCCTGATATCTGTTTCAATGGTTGTGTCCAAGAAACTGGCTGAGCCACACAGTCAATTTATGGATCGCACAATTGAACTACCAATTAACAGGATACCATCTGTACTCTGATTTTCATTTGAAGAAAACAGGAAAAAGTGACAACTACAAGTTGCATTTATATAATGCCTAATTCTTTCGGGAATTAGGTCAGCACACACATTCCACACACCCCACAGACACACGTAAGACACATGCGCACACACCACAACCCACACACAAGCCTAGAATGCTACCACCGCTCTAGCTAAGATCAGCTAATTCCGAATGTGAAACTATGTTGGATTTGCCAGTTTTTATTTTCAAAATAAAGTTGAGTTTATTTTTAACAAACCCTTGAACTGATAAAATGCGATAAAATTGTTCACCTGTCTATTAAAGGTTATTCAAGTCTGGGAGTCCTGCTCATAAACCATTGAATGGATTATACGGCATACGGAATTCCTCTTCAAGGACTGGTCAGGTATGACTGTTTGTACTAGTTTTCATCATTTCCTTCAACACTATTTGGAAGTCCTGTAGCTTATTGGTTAGAGCACTCGCCTCGCTAGCGAGAGGATCCTGGTTTGATTCCCGGGCAGGGCAAAGCCTTAGGGAAGTTTCCTTACTCCACACGCCTAATAATAATCCCTCAAGAAAATAAAACAATAATAATTTGGTCACTTCAAACCCACAACTGTTTGTGGGACACTGCTGTGCACAATTGGCTGCCGCATTTCGTCCACAAATGTACAGTCAATTCACTTTACATTCTGTGAAGCGTTTTGAGATGTCTAGAGGACGTGAAAAGCGCTATATCAAATGCAAGGATTATTATAAGTAGGAACCCGGTTGTTAAGTCAATTGCCAGATGGCTTTCTGGGGGTAATAATCCCTTCATAAATAAATAATTTGGTCACTTAATCCATGACTGCTGTATGCAACTGGTTGCCCCATTTCGCCCACAAAATATACAGTCAATACACTGTAAGTATATTCTGTGAAGCGCTTTGAGATGTCTCAACAAAGTGATAATGCGCTATGTCATGTGCAAGGATTATTAGTCTAATATCTACAGTGTGCAGGAAGTAATTAAAAATAATTGTGTTATTTTTCTTTTCCTCAAGGTTTTAGTTGTATGGGACGAGTCAGAGAAAAAAGTGAGAAATTATAGAATTTTTGCAACGGTGAGTAAAATTTCATAAAGCTTTTTTTAAACTTAAATGTACTTTCTTTTAACATTATAAAACTTGCTACTAATACCAAAGTATGAGGGCAGGGGAATAATATAAAGGGGATAAATAGTGTCTAGAGACCCCAACTCTATCGCTGCCTCCACCCTCGACTCCAGGACCACTGCTGTCCTGACAGAATGTCTGTCAGACATCAAGTCCTGGATGAGAGCTAACTTTCTACAGTTGAATGTCAACAAGACTGAGGCTCTCCTGATTGGCTTCAGTCAGCGCCTCCACATTTCAGGCACTGATAGCATCACCATCCATGGTTGCACACTCCACCATGCTAAGCCACTCCGGAAACTTGACGTCATGTTTGACCCTCAACTGTCCTTTCTACCCCACATCCGTGCCATGTCTCGCTCTGCCTTCCCCATCTCCAGAACATTGCCTGCTTCTGACACTCTCGGTCTCTTCAGGCTGCTGAAACCCTCATCCACACTTTTATTACATCCAGGCTTGACTACACTAACTCCCTGCTCGCCAGACTTCCCAATTCTTTCCTCCACAAGCTGTAGATTATTCAGAACTCTGCAGCTCATATCCTCTCCCACAGTAAGCTTCATGAGCCGATCATCCACATTACTTGCTTCACTGACTTTCCATCCCCCAGAGGATCGAGTTCAAGATCTTTGTCCTCACCTTTAAAGCCCACCATGGTTTTGCTCTTCCCTACCTCTGTGACCTATTAAAGATTCACCAACCTGTCTGTTCCCTATGTTCTGTAGGCACTGGCTACTCTACATCCTCCGCCCTGCCTGCTCTACTATCAGCGGTTGAGCCTTCAACCACCAAGAGTAGAGCCTGTCCCAACCCTCTGGAACGCCATCCCGCAGCCTCTCCGCCTCACCCGCTCCTTTGTTTCCTTCAAGGCCCATCTCAAGACCTTTTTGATCGTGCTTTCGGTCATCTTCCCTTCTCCACCCCACCTTGCCCTCACCCCCTCCCTGATCCCAACCCACAGCTCGGGTGCAGACCACTTACTGTCCAGCATTTTGGGATGTCCTCCCAACATGAAAGGCTCAATAAAAATTTAGGTTGTTGTAGTGTTCAAGAATATGTGGACCAATTTGGGTCAATCCAGTTCTTTTTGGATCCTGTGTATTTTTATAAATATACAAAGTCTTTTGCATTGATTGGATTTCTGATGTAGGAGGACATTATTGTTGTAATTAATGGTGTCTGTTATGTTGACCACTTGGAAACCACATTTATATTTAGTTTATGCAAAGCTGCTTAATAAATGGCGGCATTTACACATATTTTACACAATGTGCATAATAATATAAGGATTAATATAATTAAATGGAGTCCCGTAGAGTAATGGTTAGTGTGCTCGCAAGCAAGAAGACCCGTTTTGATTCCCAGGTAGGGCGAAACGTTAGGCAAGTTTCCTTACTCCACACGCCTCTGTTTATCTAGCAGAAAGTAGGAACCCAGTTGTTAGTTGATTGGCGGATCGCTTTCCGGGGTAATAATCCCTCAAAAAATAAATTTGGTTATTCAATCAATGCCTGTTTGTGGGACATTGCTGTGCTGTGTAGTTTATGGGTGTTTCGCCCACAAAATACAGTTGGTCCACTTTACAGTATATCCTGTGAAGCGCTTTGAAACGGCTCAATGACGTGATAAGACACTATATCAAATGCAAAGATTTTAATTATATTATTATAATAGACCCCATTCTTTCTGTTTTTGTTACAGGACTCCAAGTTCTTTCTTGAGAGTGACACCAAGTTCACCAGTCTCGCAAACATGATTGATTTTTACTACCACAATTTGCTACCATCCCATACTTCTCTAAGGCTCCGTGAGCCTTACGGCTATAAAAACCTACTATGATACCAACTTTAAAATATTGACTGGAAGCTTTTAATGCCAAACAAACTGAAAATGGTTCACTGACAACATGAAAATATATGATGACTTGAAATATATATATATATATAATGTGCTATATTTATATTTAAAACTACATCTTCAGAAGTTCGAAGAGAGTTTAAACAATACTGTCTTGGAAAAGGACAAGAAAACAAGAGCTAATGTGAGCTTGTGTCAAACGTTAATTATGAAAAATATAGTGTCTCACTTAAGGTAAGCCTTTGCTTAAACAAACTCACCCTTCACACTGACCCTGCCTATTCTTGCATAATGATGGAAATAACTATGGAACTATTCCACCCATCGTGATCTGGATCTGGTGTTAACTTTTTCAGATGAGATTCTAAATACTTAACCAAATCATTTTAGTCTCAGTTTACAGAAACAGAAGTTTTTCCACAAAGCATGGGTGTGCACCACAGAATTTACCCACGGTATCAAACTCAACTCTACAATTTTTCTTAGGTCAAATGAGTGTCTGGCACATGCAGAAACCCCTTACCAGGTGTCAAGAACTAGAAAAAAGTGAAAATGGTACAGATTAGAAGCTTTAGCCCTTGTGTTGCCGGTGTGGAATGTATGCATGGGTAACCTGTGTGTTCTGCAGTTCAGAGTACTGTTCGTGTGAGAGTAGCCTCGCTGCGGTCTGGGATATTACAGCTCTTTCAATTTGAAGAATTCTCCACCCCCTTCTCCCCCCACCCCCCAACCCACTAGTCACACCACTTGTTTTTCTTGTAGATTATATAAGAAATCACAATACAGTGTTTCGAAATATGGCCTGTTAACTCCCAACTGCAGAAATTGACATTGACACCACAGTAACAAAGGTAGTAATGAGACATTCAGTAAATCCCTATTCCAGAGAGCAGGGGCAGAAAGACTGAAGCCTGACTACAAAGGCAGACGGGATCTTGGTTTAACGTTTCAGGATGGCAAGTGTTAACTTTTGGAGTACTGTATTTTTACATACAACAACTGTGAATCTGGTTTGCTGCTAATTTCTGACCCAGTGTATTTTTACAGTACAAATGAGTGGATTATGTTGGCACATTGACATTCCTGTTCTGGCCTGAATTATGGGTTGGGTATGATTACATCCACAATCACAGATGTGTCAAATTCCATGTCGTGTCTATGCTGACTGAGGGAGACACCAAGTGAAAGCAAACCTCTTTCTCCAAGGAAGATACAGAAAGTTGACAGGCAAGCTATTCCCACATGAACCAAACAACTGGAAATAGCTTGACCACTACATTCATGACCTGGAAGTTCACGGAACCAGATAAATTGTAGCACAGGAGGAGGCCATTCATGCCATCTACCCTATGCTATGCTATCTTATCTAGATGAGGTATATACCCTATAATCCCAATTCCCTTTTAAATTATTTGGCAAAGCATTTCATGTTTTAATAACCCCTCGTCATAAAAATGATTCTTCTACCCTCTTCCCTCTAACTCTTCCCGTACTTCTGAATAAGTGAGAGAATCTAAAGAGAGGGAGAAAATGTATTCAAAGAATGTGGTGGAGAGCTAAAACAATTTGAGTTATTATTTAAACAATGGAATAGTTTTTAAATAGAATAAAGTATCATCATATTTGGTAAACAAATATTCAAGGCCCTCAAACGGTTGAACAATTGGGAGGAGGGAAAGGCTCAAATCTTGTAGTATTAATAATGCAAATGTATCCTCATTTTGAGTAGCGTTAAAGTTGTTCAATTCCATAAATTTACTGACAGATTTATACTTTTTGAGAAAATGTTTTGATAGTTAATTTAATATACTAATATTTGTATGACTCTGCATTGTTAATCAGAAACCCTCAACATGACCTCCAGGCAATGATACAACGTTGGTAAGAGTAGCATTATATCTGTGGTTAATGCTCCTGGTTTTAATGTCAGTTCAGAGCATCCTACATCAAACCTAGAACAGGTTGAATGATGGGTTAAGTACTATTTTTTGAGCAGGTTATGAATACAATGCAACAACATGGGACTTTAACAGCGTTAAATCTTTTAACTACATTACTACTAACTTAAAGTTGAATGACTACATTGTCAACTATGATTATATGTAAATAAATATTTTACATTTTATGTATATTGCAAATTGTTTAGAAAATGTACATAGGATATTTTGAACACAAGAAATCTGTGAGATCTATATGTAATTTTATATATGTATATATAAAGTGAAGAAGAGAATATTGTTAGATCGTTCTCAACTTTTTGTAAAACTTAAAGGCTTGGATTTTCCTCTGGGCAGTGATTTTATCATCCAAATTTCCAGTGGTTTTAAATGGTAGCAATACAGGACCTATTTTTCTGCTGGTGCTCAGGTTGTAGTAGTAGATTGTTGTGAGCATATGTAAACTTTCATCATGGCTCAGCTGAACAGTGGGGAAAACCTTGACAAACTGAGACATTGCAGAAAGCTTTTAGCTTTGTATCTAAAGAGCATTAAGCGTCAGACAATGTCAGTGGAATATTTTAGTTAGTTTTAGCCGCAGAAAGGATTTGCAGTATTTTGTACGTTTTATCAAATAATAATGATCCTTGCATTTGATGTAATGCCTCATCGCGTCTTTGAGACGTCTCAAAGTGCTTCACAGAATATACTGTAAAGTGAATTGACAGCCAAGAAACAAGACAGCCAGTTGCGCACAGCAGTGCCCCACAAAAAGTCATGGATTGAGTGAACAAATTATTATTTTTTGTTTATCTAAATTTAGATGAACACCACCGTATGTATATGCATACGTCTAGTTGTGTCGAGACTATTACCTCTAACCAGCAAAAGTCGTATCGACTTGTGTATTTTTTTAATGTGAGCTCTTGCATTGAGTAGCAATGTAGACCACTGTGAAATCCAAGCCATAAAGGTGTGTGAACCAGGATCTACAGGACAGAGTGCAATAAATATATTTTTCTAAACTTAAATAAATAAAAATCTATATATCAGTATATTGAGTTTTTGGTCTGTACTAAATTATTTGTTTATTTTGACTTCTCTGACACACTCCTTACCAGTCCCCCCAGATCCATACAAGCTCCACCTCATTCAAAACTGCTGACCCCATTCCTCGCCCACAACAAAGTCTGAATGCCCATCAATCCACTAGTCTTGCCGGGGTCCACTAGCTCCCTGTCTTCACTGGCTCCCTCACCTACAGATCCCTTCGCATCCTAGCACCTCCCTATCTTGGAATCTTTTCATTTATTCTTCTATTGCCATCTCAAGACCTTCACAACCCCACCCATCTTGCATTCCCCCTCCCCATCTTGATTCCAACCCCCAGCTCTGTGCAAACCTTTGACTGTTCAGTGTCTTGGGACAACCTCCCAATGTGAAAGGGGTTATATAAATGCAATTTGGTGTTCTGTTTGTCCCTTCTGCTTGGGAAAGTGGAATTACCCACACCTGCTCCACCATCAGTGGCCAAGTCTTGTGGAACTATCCCCCCAGCTTTTAAACCCCCTCCATTACCCTTCCATCTCATTTTCTCACTATCTGTCTTCATATCCCCAACAATCTGTCTCTTCATCTATGTCACCTCCTTTCTCCCCTTCCTCCTTTGGTTGGCATCCTGTGAAATGCACTGAAACGTGATCCTATGTACTATATCAATGCAAGTTGTTATTTCAATTTGTAAAACAAGTAGAATTGGAATGGGAACTAAAATTGCAATCTAGCTTTGAGTATAGAATATATAGTTATGCTTGTTCCAAGTCTTCAGTCACATGAAATAAAAGTCATTATTTATGACAATAGACAAACACTGATGTAGAAGCATATTCCCACCAGTCTGTATCACATAGATTCCAATAAAGTTCACATTTCACTGCTGGAGAAATCACAGCCACCAGATGGCAATGTAATGGGTATGACAAAGAACATTAGCTTTTTAAAAAAAGTAAAATCTTCATGAACCTTCGAAGCAAACAAACGTAACAAATAATGATACAGGTACATTAATCACATTAATCTGCAATAGACTTGAGCAGATATGACTACATTACTGTTTTACTGTAAGGATTTTGATTGTCACTGTTAATGCTTGCTGGAAAAATCACCCACTTGAACCAGTTTGTAAGCCAGGCAGGGCCATTTCCTACAGGGGGAGGCTGAGCATAATGACTATTTTCAAGAGAAAGGAAAATTGTATTGCTAAATGAAAATAGAGTGGATAGCTTTTAATTTTTTAAAATATACAAATCATTCAAATTTTCAAAGATATCCATGAGAAGCAGAATGCCTTGATGTTGTAACAAAGCAATTCTTTTGACTGACAACTGTGAAGGATCCTCGATGTTGGATCCTGCAGGAATGTCTCAAGAGCACTTAAAAACACATACAATCACGCCATTGTTATTGCCATTGACCCGGGTTCAAACTCAGATCCCACATGGAGTCAATCTTGCAGCGATGAGTTTGAAGCACTTCACAAAATGTAACTCAAACCTCCTGACTGTAGGATTTGTATGCAGCACAGGGAATAAAACTCTTCCACACTGCACGAAGCATAACATAACACACATAACAGACTTATTAAGTGGCCAGGAAAGCACAATATATTCAAAGCTGAATGAGCTAATGTTTTATGAAGGACACCAGGAGGTCATCTGACGTAGAGATTTATTTTATAAACCATTGGCAACATGTTACATAAAAGAAAAATGTTTCTGCAAATCATTGTCCCATCCCTTTGCCCCTCACCACAACCAGCTAAAAGCAGCGTGACCAAAACATCAGTTGATGTGTGATGTTACCATTGATACTATTGTAGTACAGTAACATAGTCCAGGGCCTATGTTAGTAATTTTGTTGTTGTTGTAGTAGAGATAATATCATGAGGAGGGGAGTGGGGGAGGTAAGCAGGGTCTCCTTGGAGCTAAACTGGCACAACAGCCAGCCTGGCTCATCTGCAGAATCTGGAAGTGCAGACCAGTCACTGGCGGCAGGGACTCTTCCCATTCAGCTCCTGTTAACTCTGAAACCAAGGTCCTAATGCGTAGGGTGGTCCTAGCAGGACAAGCAGCGGGAAAGCTTCCCAGACAGTCCTCTCAATGGCAAGCTTTGCATTTTTAGCTGGTTGGACTCCAGCAGTATTCAATGCACACTCTGGGATGCGCAAGCCTTGGCTCTCGCCAACCTGCACCTAATACTTTCTGGAATTAGGTAAACAGGATGCGTCCCTTCAGGGAGAGAATGCACATTCCATTCCAACAATTTATCTCTGGGATTTCTATGTACAGGTGGGATGCATGGAATTCTCAGTTTGTTTTGGTGATGGGTTTCCACATGTGTCAGACACCCGGCTGACCAAAACAAATGTTAGAGATGACTTTTATGAAGTGCCCGAGGCCTGAACAAGAGCGTTGGCAAAACCATCTGTCCACTCAAATGTATCTCAAATATTGTTGGGCTTAATAATAATATAATAATCCATACATTTGATATAGTGCCTTATCACATTGTCGAGACGTCTTAAAGCACTTCACAGAATATATTGTAAAGTGCTTTGACTGTGTATTTTGTGGCTGAAAGGCAGTAGCCAATTGCGAACAGCAGTCTCCTACAAACTGACCAATTTTTTTTTTGATCCTGTGAACTAGAAGCTTCACCGCAAAAGAATGAGAGACAGTTCAATAGTCAGTCACTTCTGGTGTTCTTGAGCACCTTCTAGCAGAACAGCACTGATGGAAGTTCA